AGTTAACAATAATAATAATAATAATCCTTGCATTTGATATAGCGCTTTTCACGTCGGGAGGACGTCCCAAAGCGCTTCACAGAACACACTGTAAAGTGAATTGACTGTATATTTGTGGGCGAACGCGGCAGCCAATTGCGCACAGCAATGTCCCACAAACAGTCGTAGATTGAAAATGACCAATTTATTATTGTTTTTTGTTTTGGAGGGATTATTATTAGGCGTGTGGAGTAAGGAAACTTGCCCAAGGTTTCGCCCTCTGCTTGGAATTGAACTCAGGTCTCTCGCTTGCAAAGCGAGTGCTCTAACCACTGAGCTACAGGACTCCACAAAGTTGAGTGAGGATGGGGGTGATAGACTCGCAGTGCTGAAAATGAAGTGTAGGAACAGAACACACCAACATGAGGCCTTCGGCTCTCTTGTCTCCCCTTTTTTTTTATTGAACTGCAAGTCTCAGCTGTGCTGTCATAGCAAGGATTTGCAAAGCTGAGGCTATTTCTCAGGAGAAATTAGTGAGAACTGAGAATTTCTGGGCTGCACTAATACATCACTACATTCTGCATTAAATACAAGCTGATTTATTCCTGGATCAATGCCCCTATTTTGAATGAGTAATTAATTTAGCTCCCATCTGGCTTGTGGTACAAATGGACGTTAATGAATACGACCTATTATGTTACTATTGGACAGAAACGTTGAGTCTTACCGTATACTCTGGTTTATATTATTCTCCCTCCTCATCCAATTACATTCTGAAAATTCACACATATTGCCTCTCATCTATTTGTGTGTCACAAGGAACATATTAGTTGCCCCCCCTTTTCCTCCTTAAACACCATTCCCTTCCCTTCTAATTAATCTCATTCTCTTAAAGTGTTTCTAGGCATTTATTTTATGGGAAAAGAACTATAGACCATATGAGTGGATTGTATTATTATTATTGAATAGCCGTTTACCCACAAAGCAGATAGTCAAACTACATTACAAGATATCCTGTGAAGTGTTTTGGGATGTCCTCCTGATGTGAAAGCTATAAATGTAAGGATTATGATTATTATTATTATAAATAATAATTTAGAACATCATTGACATAAACTTGTCTTTGGGATTGTATATAACTCATGTAAGGAGTTTCAGTGATGTGCTGTTCTCCTAATAAGCTATTTATTTCCTATGAATCTTTAATAAATAATATTTCTTGCATTTGGTATAATGCCTTACATTGTCGAGACATCTCAAAGTACTTCACAGGATATACTGTAAAAAGGTATGATTGTATATTTTGAAGGAGAACATGGCAATAATTTGCGCATAGCAAATTGTCCCTGTACCAGCCATGCAGTGAATTACCAATTTTATGAGATTTTTTGCTAGGACACTGGGAGAGAGAAACTTGCTTCTCTTTCCGAAGGATGCCATGGGGTCTTTAATGTCCACCTAGACAGAGAGGTGGGATCTCAGTTTAACGTATCATCCAAAGGAAAGCAACTCCGCCAATGTAATGCACCCCCAGCATTGCATTGGAGTGTCATTAGATTATAATGGGTTCCAAGTCCCGACGTGAGCCTTGAAAATCAAAATCTCCTGACTCAGAGATAAGAGTGCTACCACTGAGCAGGCTTTCTCCAGAGTAATGCCGGAGTCTTACCCACAGATATAAAAATAGATTTTCTAACAGAATGGAATGACTCATGTAAAATTCTCAGGCTGTAACGTTTCTGGCTAAACTGCATTATCTATTGTAAATACTTGAAACAAAAAATTAGTTGATTGGGAGGGACTTGATTGATTGATTAATTAATGCTCCTGTTGCTGTGCACCAGTTTCTCATGACTGATCGGTCCCAGGATCTTAAATGAATTTTCTTGTTTGCAAGCCTGAATGTCTGTCTGCTGGCTGTTACAATTGCTCTGCTTTAAATCCGTGTCATTCCATTACCGCCCTCGCCTCCGCTAAATCATCCTTCTATTTCAAGGTAATCTTGGAGGCCAAGGTCAAGCCCAGGCTTCTCTTCTTCACCACCAACTGGCTCCTCCATCCACCCTCTCACACCTCGCCCTTCCTCTCCTCCAACTCCAACTGCGAGGAGATGCTGGATTTCCTCGATACCAAAATCAAGCGAATCTGTTCAGCCGTCTCCACCCTCCCAACCGCCACCCCCTCTCCATCTCTCTCTCACGTTCCGGGCCCTACCCATCCATCCCTCCACACCTTCGAACCTGTCTCCTACTCCTTTCTCACTGTAACCCGCATGAAGGTCACATCCTGCTCCCTCGATCCCATCCCTACCCCTCTCCTTACCTCCCTGCTCCACTTCCTCTCCCCTTACTGTCAGATCTCACCAACCTCTCCCTGTCAACTGTCACCGTTCCCACCCCCCTAAAAATAGCTGTCCTAAACAAACCTTCCCTTGACCAATCTCTGCTCATTAACTACTGTCCCATCTCCAACTTCCATTTCCTTTCCAAGATCCTTGTTGCTTCCCAGCTTCACTCTCTTGCCCACAGCATGGAAACAACCCTGGTCATGGTGACAAATGATATTTTGTCCATCTGTGACCAGGGCTCCCTCTATCTCCTCGTCCTCCTCGACCTCTCTGCTGCCTTTGACACTGTGCACCATTCTATCCTCCACCACTGTCTCTCCTCTCACCTTAACCTTCAAGATTCTGTCCTTGAATGGTTCAGATCCTATCTCTCACACCGGCTCCACCTCCACAAATTACTTCTCCTCCAACCCCCACACCGTCTTGTGGGGTATTCCTCAGGTCTCTGTCCTCGGTTCTCTCCTCTTCAACCTGTATATTCTCCCTCTTGGTGACAACATCCTCAGACATGGGGGTCAACGTCCACATGTATGCTGATGACACCCAACTTTATCTCTCTGCCTCCACCCTTGATCCCAGGTCCTCTGATTTCCTGACAGACTGCCAGTCAGACATCAAGTCCTGGATGAGAACCAACTTTCTACAATTGAGCGTCAGCAAGACCGAGGCTCTCTTGATTGGCTTGTGCCAGAGCCTCCGCACCTCAGGCACTGGCAGTATTAGTTCACCTCACCAACCCAGTCAGGAATCTGGACATCTTGTTCAACCCTCCACTGTCCTTTCTCCCCCACATCTGTGCCAGCGTCCTGCTTGTCAGCCTTCCCAACTCTTCCCTCCACAAGCTGCAGATCATCCAGAACTCTGCAGCTCGTGTCCTCCCCCGCGCCAGGTTCCGTGACCACAACACCCCCACCCTCGCCCGGCTCCACTGTCTCGCCATCCCTCAGAGGATAGAATTCAAAACCCTCGTCCTCACTTTCAAGGCTCTCTATGGTCTTGTCCCCTCCTACCTCTCCAACCTGCTGACCCCCTATCAACCTGTCCCTCCACTCAGAAGGCTTCCGGTCTGCTCCATGTCCCCCGCCCCGCCCGGCCCGCCCCGCCCCACCATCAGCTGTCGGGCCTTCAGCTTCCCTTGCCCTCACCCTCCGGAACTCCATCCCACATTCCCTTCGTCTCGCTCCCTCCCTTGCCTCCTTCAAAGTACGTCACAAGACATTCATCTTCGACTGTGCCTTCTGCCACCCTCCTATCCTCTCTGCTCTCCACTCTATCTGATCCCAACCCCAACACTTCCGCTCAGGTCCTAATCCTCGAGTGTTCAGCACCTTGGGACGTCCTTTCTACCTGAAAGGCGCTTTACAGATGTAATTTTGTATTGTATTGTACTATACTGGGAGGAGGTGGGGGTGGTTGCAAATTGCACACAATTCATCATTTTTTATTGATTGACTAAAACCTTTCATTGATTGTTGGAGCTGGTAAGAGAGCAGCGACGTGAGCTGCCAATGTCACCCGACCCAATCAATTGTAGGTACAACTTGACCTCCAGTGTAACCCGCTGATAGTATGCCTCGTGTTTAAAGACATGGCTCGGTGTGGCACTCAGTAATTGCAGCTTTGTCTGACCAGCAGTTAGAGCAGCAGGCGTGATGCTACCATTGACATTGGCACCATTTCCCCTCCCACCCCATGTGAAGTGAGAACGGACAGGATTGGACTCAGCTGTGTTGGTGCTGTAGTTGAATGACCTGGCGACCCTCACTACTGGTCTTGTCACAGGTTAGATACTGGAGGCCATCTGTGATGCTGCATCTTTAGGAAAGGAGGGGGGTAAAATTGGCAGCCCTGACACACACCACACACACACACTCACAGCGTAATAGAAATGAGGGAATACGAGGGCTCTTGTGGGCTATTTTTCAGTCTCCTAACATTAATATAATTAAAGCTAGTTGCGTGAGATCTTTTATTGATTGAGTTAAGAGTAAAACCTCAAGGTTAATTTCAGTAATTGTTTTAACTTGTTGCAGTACAGGAATGTACAGTATATGATGCTCAAGATGGCTGCATCTCACTTTCAACAATGAAATGGTTAAAAACAATACTTCCTTCCTATTGAATTCACAGCTGGGTTATTAACTGATGCAGTCTGGTAGTGCTTTGAGACCTTGTCCGGTTCTAGTCATTGTATACATCCTTTCACATACACTCACATATACATACACACAGTCACATACACATACACACACTTACATACACATACATACACTTGCATATACACACACACATGCACACACTCACATTGACATACACACATTCACATACACTCACATATACATACACACATAAATACTCATACACTCTGACACATACTCACATACACATTCACACACACTCTTTGTCTCTCTTACACACACACACACACAGCAGTGAGGGCTGCCTTCTCTTGAAGTTGCGACACACCCAGTGGAACCATTAAGCAAGAGTCGCTGACCGTTGTCACAAGCACACACACTCGTGGGACCAGGACTGCTGAGCTAGTCCTTGTTTGTGTAACCTGCTGCTGGCGCTTTGATTCATCTCTGTAACCAACCTTTTACAAGTAATTTGTTGCTGATTGGGACTCATGGAGAGGTTACATTAATATTACACAGCACACACTAAGCGCTGAGCTTGTTCTCCGCTGTATGTGGTGCAGTGCAGATAGAGCCTTGGATAATGTATTCAGATTCTGTTCTCTGGCAGCTTCTTCAGTCTACGTGAAGCAAACTACTCTTGAGGGAGGCTCGTTTCCAGTCCATATGGCAAGGTACTTTACATAGCGGTGTCCATTTCACCTTGTAGTAAATTGCGCAAAATACATTTTGAAAAATAATAAACTCCCTGCCAGGTGCAAGAGGAGAACTGTAAAGCCGTGCTACTGGCGCATTTTTACCATTTACTCTAGAGCTTTATAGACTTCACATGCATAATTGACAACAGTATTTGGATTTTTTTTGCTGGATCACACGTTTCTGTTTGTGCATAGCCCTTACTTGTGTATGTGTGTCTGCAATGTGCTCAGACTCAGGTGTGTCATGTTTGCAGTACTGACTCAGGTATGCCATTTTGAGAAATGTGTTGCTGTCAGCCATGAGTTGCTATCCACATAAGCAAAGAGGGATGATAAAGACAATAATAATAATCCTTGTATTTGATAAAGCGCCTTATCATGTTGTTGAGATGTCTCAAAGTGCTACAGTATATACTGCACATTAGGACATCCTCCCGATGTGAAAGGTGCTTTACAAATATAATTTTGTATTGTATTGCATTATACTGTAAAGTGAATTGACTGTATATTTTGTGGGCGAAATGCAGAGACCAATTGCGCACAGTAGTGTCTCACAAGCAGTTGTGGATTGAGTGATCAAATATGGAGTCCTGTAGTTCAGTGGTTAGAGCGCTCGCCTCACAAGCAAGAGGATCTAGGTTCGGTTCATCGGCAGGGCAAAACGTTGGGCAAGTTTTCCGGGGGTAATAATCCCTTAAAAAAAATGCTGTCATTCAATCCACAACTGTTTGTGGGACACTGCTGTGTGCAATTGGCTGCCATGTTTCGCCCACAAAATATATAGTCAATTCACTTTGCAGTGCATTCTGTGAAGCGCTTTGAGACATCTCAAAAGACCTGATAAGGTGCTATATCAAATGCAAGGATTATTATTATTATGGAGTGAATGAACATTTTTATTTCCCTGTAGGGTTGTAGGCCAAGAACAGGGACAAACTCTCTTCTCTTATTAAACAAAAGGCAAAGACGAAAGGTTATAGACCTGACCTGAAAAAAGGTTCTGACAAAAGGTCATCGACATGAAACATTAACTCATTTTCCTCTCTCCGTGGATGCTGCTTGACCAGCTTCATGTTAATACTAATACTAATCCTTGCATTTGATATAGCGCCTTATCACGTCTTCGAGACGTCTCAAAGCACTTCACAGAATACACTGTAAAGTGAATTGACTGTATATTTTGTGGGCGAAATGCGGCAACCAATTGCGCACAGCAGTGTCCCACAAACAGTCGTGGATTGAAGTGACCAATTTTTTTTGAAGGAATTACCCCTGCCTTTGAATCCGACAGTCGACTGAAAAACGGATTCCTACGTACTGCTACAGAAACAGGGAAGTGTGGAGTAAGGAAACTTGCCCAACCTTTCGCCCTGCCAGGAATCAAACCCAGGTCTCTCGCTTGCGAGGAGAGTGCTCTAAACCACTGAGCTACAGGACTCCATGTAACAGTGTGAAAGTGTTCTCAAGTGTTTATAACAGAAGTTCTCTTATTGTTATAGTACGTACAATGTTATAATTCTATCTAGTCCAAAAGAGTATATTAAGCAAACTTGACTAACAGTTTCACTGGATCAATCTTCCTGTGTTGTCTAATCACATTTTTAAAGTATGTTTCCCGCGACTTCGGTGTTTATCCCTTCTTTTATTAAATGGGGTTGCGAAATCTTTAAAGTCCATCTGAACAGGCAGATTAGATCTTAGTTTAACATTCAAATGTTGACATCTTAAACAATGAGAGTGAACTTGCACACGAGTGTCAGTCTACACTATGTGTGTTCAATATCCCAATGTAATCCACAACTTGACTCAAAGGCTGTGTGCAAATTGGCTGTTGTCTTTGCCAATAAATGCACACTTTATGGGAAACCGGAAATGCTTTGAGATGCTTCCATGCGTAAGGGTTATTATTACATCAAATTGATACGATACCAATTGCAATTATTATATCAAATTGCGATTATATTAAATTGTACTTATTATATCAAATTATTATTATATCAAATACAAGGATTATTTAGACATAGCAAAGATCTACAACCCTTGTAATATGATACCAACCTGAAAAGTAGCTGCCTATGCGTGTGGATATGTCTCAGCTTGACTCAGTTGGTGACATTCTCACCTCTGGGCCAGAAGGTGGTGGCATCAAGCCCCACATCAGGGATGTGTTTGTTCACAGACCAGGCTGACAATTCAATGAGGCTGCATTGCCATAGCTGCTGTGCTACAGGTGAAATATTAAACTGGGGTCCCATCCGTCTCTTCAGGTTAAAGATCCTATTGCCCATTCAGATGGAGAAATCCCCCGCATAAAATTCATGGCTGTTCATGGGACATTGAGGTGTGAAAATTGTCTGCTGCATTTGCCTACAAAATATAGTTGCTACACTTGATTACCTGTGAAATGCGTTGAGGTGTTTTGAATTTATAGGTGCTATGCCAACTGCAAGGATTATTTATTGTTATTATTGTGATGATGTGCTTCATGATAGTTCAGTACTGCTTCTTACCCTGACCTTTCCTTCATCCCCATGGTTACACTGCACTTGTGTTAATGGATCAGGCCTCAGATGACTGTCAGTCACGCTGGGGGACAAACAAGTGTAAAATGAGTATGACAAATGGAGAATGGTTCAGGTCATTTAGGCCCTGGTTAGATTTGTTATGCTCTAATGATGTGATGTGTGACCTATGACTCGCTGTGGATCTGTGCTAATGCACTACATCAATCTTGACTTTGACAAAAAAATCAAAAAAGCATATGTTGCAGAAAACCTATGGTGATATCATCCACAGACATGCATGGAGGTCAACTTCCACATGTATACGCATGACACCCAACTCTACTCTCTGCCTCCACCCTCGACTCCAGGATCACTGCTGTCCTGACAGAATGTCTGTCAGACATCAAGTCCTGGATGAGAGCTAACTTTCTTCAGTTGAACGTCAACAAGACCGAGGCTCTCCTGATTGGCTCCTGTCAGCGCCTCCTGACCTCAGGCGCTGACAGCATCACCATCCATGGTTGCACACTCCACCTCACTGAGCCAGTCCGCAACCTTGGGGTCTTGTTTGACCCTCAACTATTCTTTCACCCCACATCCATGCCATGACCCGTTCTGCCTTCCCCCACCTCCGCAACATCGCCCGGCTCTGCTACTGTCTCACACCATAGGCTGCCAAGACACTCGTACACGCCTTCATTACATCCAGGCTCGACTTCGTAAGTTCCCTACTTGTCAGCCTCCCCCAACTCCTCCCTTCATAGGCTGCAGATCATCCAGAACTCTGCAGCCCGTGTCCTCTCCCGCATCACACTCCGTGACTCTATCACCCCCATCCTCGACGGACTCCACTGGCTTCCCATCATACAGAGGATACAGTTTAAAATCCTGGTCCTCACCTTCAAAGCCCTCCATGGCCTTGCTGCCCCCTACCTCTGCGACTTCCTAAGCCCCTACCAACCTGCCTGCTCCCTCCGCTCAGCAGGCTCCAGCCTGCTTTACGTCCCTCGCCATGCCCACCTCCATTGGCGAGTGGGCCTTCAGCACTCTGTCCCCACCCTCTGGAACTCCATTCCACAGTCCTTCCGCCTCGCCCCCTTTCTTGCCTCCTTCAAGACCCTCCTCTTTGACCGTGGATTCGCTCACCCTCCTTCCCCCCCCTGCCCTCCATCTCCCTGATCCTGACCCACAGCTCAGGTTCAAAACATTGATTGTCCAGTGCCTTGGGACGTCCTCCTGACATGAAAGGTGCTATACAAATATAATTTTGTTGGTGGTGTGTTAGAAAAAAAAGTCAACGTAGATAAACTTCTGTTATTTTGCTGTATGTCTTGTCAATTCTTCCCACTCAGCTCCTGTTAACCCTACAACCCAAAACCTTTATGGGTAGTGTTATCCTAGCTGGACAAGCAGTGGGACGCTTGCCAGATTATGCTCTTAATGGCAAGCCATGCGGTTTTAGGTGACATACATGAAATTCTCAGTCTGGTTTGGGTAGGTTGTGCCAGTCATGCTGGTGACTAAATACAATACAACATGGGGGTCCATGGTGGGGCTGGCAGGCACGGTTGTTGGCTTTCCTCTGTAATAACAATAGACCTTGCATTTGATATAGCGCCTTATCGTGTCGTTGAGACGTCTCAAAGTGCTTCACAGAATATACTGTAAAGTGAATTGACTGTATATTTTGTGGGCGAAATGCTGTAGCCAATTATACACAGCAGTGTCCCACAAACAGTCGTGGATTGAATGACCCAATTATTAGTATTTTTTTTTGAAGGAATTATTACCACGGGAAATCGATCCGCCAATCGACTAACAACCGGGTCCTACTTACTGCTAGGTAAATTGAGGCGTGTGGATTAAGGAAAAGTGCCTAAGGTTTCGCCCCATCCATGAATTGAACCCAGGTCCTCTCACTTGCGAGGCGAGCTACAGGACTCGACTGTGCCCAGTGTCCAGGTGCAACGCACAGGAAGTGACGGTGCAGCAGCCATTTTGGCTTAGTGCCTGTTATAACACGATGTTTGGGTTTATGGTCTTGAAAATGCATGTTTTAATGTGGTTCCATTATATTTTCAAAGAGGCCAGTGGTCTATGTAGTGAGTGCATGCGGGACATTTGACTTTGGGAGGGCATCAGTGTTGAGCCCTGTGTTGCTGCTCAAAGCAGAACTTTCCCTGAGGTGATGGATTCGATTTGTGATGCTTTTACTTTGCAGATAAAGAAAGCAGCTCTTACAATTACAGGGTTAACAAAGCAAACTTCTCATGCCCTGCAGCAGAGTCGTTTTCCACTCAAATACATCAGGAATTTTTTTTGGGTGGGGGATTCACCATGTATTTGTGTGGACGCCATCCAAACTCCCCCCAAAGCCTAGAATTCACTGGCCACTCATCTCACTGTTCTCAGGGCATCGCTGGGGGGAAATTATCTGCCACGCCTGCCTCCATCACAGCATTCACTTCACTT